CTCACTTGGAGGCGACTCTGATGACCACCTTCCTGTATCCACACCCAGAGATGTTCCATGTTTACACAGATTTTTTTTAGCACAAATGGCTGCATAATAGCATACTGTTGCACACCTTTTTTTAAAAGTGTAGCAATATGCCTTGGAGATTGTTTCATATCAGAACATACAGAACTGCTTCAGTCTTTTTCACAGCTGCATAGTATTCTATTCAGATGAGTATGCCATCTTTTCTTTAAGCAGCTCCTTTTGTGCTGTTTCTCGTTTTTGCTATCTGAACCAGTTCCACAACGAGTATTCTTGTACACCTTTTACATATGTGTAAACATGCCTGCAGAATAAACTTCTAGGAGCATCACTGTTGAGGCCATTGGCACATGCACTTTAAATCTTAATTAGTATTGCCAAATCACTCTCTGGAGAGGATGTACCACTTTATCCTCTCTCGACCAATGCGTGAGGGGACTGTCCTCATTTCCCTCACACAGTGAGTCATCAGATGTTTTCCTTTTTCTTCTAATCTGATACAATTATAGTTTTAACCTTCATTTCTTTTGTTATGAATGAGGATTTGCTTTTGTTTCTTACACTTAAGGTCTATTTGTATGTTCTTTTCTGTGAACTCACTATTCATATCTTGTGACCATTTTTCTATTAGGTTGTTGATGGTTTATTTTGTTTTGTTTTGGGTTTTTGCTGAGGAAGATTTACCCTGAGCTAACATCTGTGCCAGTCTTCTATTTTGTATGTGGCACGCCGCCACAGCATGGCTGACAAGTGGTGTAGGTCTGCGCCCAGGATCCAAACCTGCAAACCTGGGCTACTGAAGCAGAGTGTGCCGAACTTAACCAGTAGGCCACTGGGCCAGCTCTGTTGATGTTTTGAGTTGGTCTGTAGGAGTATTTTGACATCCAGGTGTCTAGCCTTTGTGCCGTGAGTTGGAAATATTCTTCCCACTCTGGATCTTGACTTTTCTTACAGTGCTTTCTGCCTCGCGGACTTTTTTGTTTTTAAATGGTTGGATCAGACTCTTATTTTATTGCTTCTGGATTAGAACTAGAGCTGGAAAAGCCTGCCCCGCTCCATGATTGGAAAGGAATCTTCCCATATTCTCCTCTAGGATTTTTATGATATATTTTTTTAACATGTAAATCTTTGATCCTTTTGGAATTTATCCTGGTTCATGCTAGAGCGTGGCTCCAAGTTGATTTTGTCCCGATAACCACAAGCCTGCCCACCACCCTCTGTTAGTGGCAGCTCTCTTCCCACGAGTTTGAGGGGCTTGGGTGGAGGGCGGGGCAGATCAGAGCCTGGAAGGGACTTCGGATTTGAGGCTTTGTCCTGAGAACACTGGGAAAGTGAGGAGTGGGGCAGGAGTGCCTTGATCAGACTTGCATCTTGAAAATGACACTCTAGGGGCTGGCCCCGTGGCCGAGTGGTTAAGTTCGTGCGCTCCGCTGCAGGCGGTCCAGTGTTTCGTTGGTTCGAATCCTGGGCGCGGACATGGCACTGCTCATCAGACCACGCTGAGGCAGCGTCCCACATGCCACAACTAGAAGGATCCACAACGAAGAATATACAACTATGTACTGGGGGGCTTTGGGGAGAAAGAGGAAAAAATAAAATCTTTAAAAAAAAAAAAAAAGAAAATGACACTCTAGCCCCAGAGTGGACTGGAGTGGCAATGAGTCAGTGTATTTGAGGCTGTCTCTGATCTCAAGTGCATCCCCTCATTCCTGGTGGGTTTCAGCTCCTGGGTCTCCAGCCAGGACATCTGTGCACTGGGTGTCCCCTCTGCCTGGTGCACATTTTCCTGGGAATCTGATGTACCCCACGTGCCCAGAACAGCATCTGGCAGAGCGTAGGAGCTCAGTGACTGTCTGAGGAATGAGTGACAAGGGAGATCCATGAGGACGCTGTTGCAAGTCAGGAGATGGTGGGAACGTGGATTAGGGTGTGGTATTGGACACAGGCCTAAGTGAACAGATTCCAGAGGAACAAACAGTGGACGTGCCGATAGACTGGGGCGGGGGAGCATGTGGAGGGCTGGGGAGGACTCATCATTTTCTGGTTCACCAACCAGGTAGAAAGGGATGTCATCCACGGTGACGAGGAACTGGAGAGGAGCATGTGTGTGGGCAGAAGATCCTGAGCATGGCTGTGCACGTTTGCTTGAGGAATCCTGGGATTATTCAAGGGGAAATGTCAAGTAGGCAGCTCAAAAAGGGAGCCAGGGCTTCCGAGGCGCGGTCACAGCTGCAGATACACATTTGGGACACCTCTGCCTCCTGTAGTCATGAGCCCGGGTGAGATGCTCAGGGAAGATGGAGAGAGGACACCCATGAGCAGAGCCCTGAAGAGAGCAAAGCCTAGACATGCACCCTGAGGAGCCTCACGTGCGAGGCGGGGAGAGGAGCCCGAGTGAGCTGAACAGCAGGGCGGTGGGAGGAAGCGAAGGAAGACAGTGCTCAAGAGGAGGGCGCAGCTGCAGTGTGGACGGAGAGTCGGAGCAGGAGACGAATATTGCTGGGCTTTGTGAGTGGTCTCTGCTCACTGGAGATGTGGTGAGAGCCGCTGCGATGGAGCAACAGGGATGGGATCCAATCCGAGGGTCACCAGACAGTGGAAGATGGGAAAGAGAGGCAGCGAGGGGAGGTGTCCTGTCTATCAGTGTAGGTGAAGGGAGAGAGGACGGCTAGGGCAGGAATGGGGGGGTGAGGAGAGAGGACGGCTCTGGGGGGAGTAGAAGGGGTGAGGGAAAGAGGACGGCTAGGGGGAGTAGAAGGGGTGAATGAGAGAGGACAGCTAGGGGGAGTAGAGGGGCTGAGGGAGAGAGGACGGCCGGGGGGAGTAGAGGGGGTGAGGGAGAGAGGACGACTAGGGTGAGAGTAGAGTGGGTGAGGGAGAGAGCACGGCTAGTGGGGGGAGTAGAGGGGCTGTGGGGCAAAGGTTGGTGTTTTAGTCCGAGGTGCTGGAGCCCCTGTCAGAGCTGTCGGGAGGGATCTTCCTGAGAGGCTGGGCCTCACTGACCGGTGGAGTAGGAGCGGTGGGTGCGGCAGGTGCAGGGAGGGTGGCAGCAGGTCAGCTCCTCTGAGTTCCCCTGAGGGGCACTGAGAGGCCGGGCCCAGGTGCAGGTGCACACAGGGGTGTGTGGGTGGCATCAGAAAGGTGACGGCCAGTCTGTCCAGTGGCTTTTCTTTTCTTTGTAAAACAGGGGGCAAGGTCATTGGCAGAAAGTGCGGAGTCAGCATGCGGATGTCGAGTGGCCAATGCTCTGGCCCGCCCCTTGTGTAGTCTTAGGGGACACATAGTTCCCATGGTAGCATCTTGAGTATTAGCAGCATCATACATCAGTTTTTCAAGCCTGAAATCTGTCTCATCTCTCTCCTTCCTGTAAGCCCCATGCACTCCCTACCCCTCCCCCACCCCGAGCCATTAAATTGATGAGCAAGTCCTGTGTGTCCTGTCTGTCCTCGCCATCAGGTCTCCTGACCCTCACTTCTCTCCATCTCCACTGCCAGCACCCAAGTCTGGGCCGCTGTCCCCTACACGGGGACAGCTGCAACAAGTCCCTGCACCCGTTCCTGCTCCTTCACATTTCTCCTCCATGCAGAACCCTTCAGTGCCGACCCCCCACTGCCCTGTGAGTGAAGCCGCCCTGGGCCAGGACATGGAAACAGGCCCTGTGCTCTGGCTGCCCTGCCTTCTCCCCGGGCCCCTCCTACTGCAGCCCGCTGGGCTTCCCAGAGCCCCTCAAAAGCCCAGTGTTCTTGACGTGTTCTGAGCATTCCCCTCTCTGCCGTGCTCCTGCCTCCCCCTTCCTGGCAGATAATCATCCCTCACCCTCTGGACTCAGCCTAGCCTCCCGGCCTGGGTCAGCCCAGCCAGGCTCGGCTCCCTCATTATGTGCTGGGAGCTTCCAGTGCTTCTCCCTGTGTGATTGTTTTCTTCAGTTTCTATCCATCCGAGGGAAATTCTGAGTCAGAGACCTTGCGTCTTGCGTTCACCACTGGGTCCCGTTACTGGCCCCCAGAGGCACCCGGCTCATAGGTGGCAATCCACAAATATGTGTTGGCCGACTGACTGCTGAGTGCCACCTCCCTGTGTTGGCCTCGCTCTCCAGACTGAGGTCCAGGCTCTGCTGGAGCAGAGGAGTTACTGGGTTGACAGCAGCATGGAAAGTGCATAGGGTTGGAGAGTTGGGCGACCTCCTTCCGGGATGAGCTCCACCTTAACCAATTATGTGGCCTTAGACAAGTCACTTCTTTCCCTCTGAGCCTCTGTTGTCCTCTGTCAATGGGTATGTCATCATACCTCTCACAGAGACTGCTGAGAAGGCCAGATGTAGTCATGGATATGCACTGTGTTTTGCAAACCGCAAGGTGAGGACACTGGCGGGTTCTCCCTGAGTCTTCAGCTGCCGTGGGTCGAGTCTCAGCGTGCTGCACCAGCCTTTCCTGCAGCTGCCACCTATGCTTGCAGACTCGGCCCCTTCAGCTTCCTCGTGCACACCCAGGCTGGGTTCCCCTAACCCCAGGGCTGGGCCACGGGCACCCCCGCACGTCTGCTCAGCCACACACATCTAGGTGCCCTTAGGAGTGTCCTTCCCTCTGTCCCAGTTGTTTTCTCCCTCAAGTCTCTCCCCTTCAATAGAAATGAACCCATCCCCAGTGGGCACCCAGATTTGTTCTTCAAGCAGGAACAGGTGCATTCCTACCCAGGGTGACAAAACCCAACACAGGGAGCCCCAAGCGGGAACCAGCAGCAGCCTTGTGAAATGAATGTGTGGACCAATGCATGCGGGATGGTCATTTCCATTCCCAGGCCCACCACGGCTGCTCAACGACAAAGGCGCTCCCTCTCCCCCCGACACTTGGCTCTGGGGCATCAAAGTCTTGCGACGATGGGTGGGCAGCAGCTGTGCGAGGGAGGGGCCGGCCTGGGCAAGGGCCCCTCTCTCACTTTGCTACTGACGAGGCTTCTCTGCTTGTGTTTTGCAGGTCCTCCTGTAAGTGTCCTGGATTATGCTCTCTGCTCCTGAAAGATAAGACCTTTTGTTCTCTCTCTGTTGCACTTCCATGAAAATAATGTTTGGTTGAAGAGGTGTGTCCTGTAAAAAAGAAATCCCTGTCCCAGACAGGGACCATACTTTTTTCAATTTGTAGATGAATGCAAGCACAGAACTCCATGGCTTGACTTGCCCTGGGAAGCATTTTATGACCATTTGCCTTCCGAGAGAGCTGCCACGAGCCTGGCCGCTCCTCACCAAATCTCTGGCCCAGAACTGCAAGCAGCGTGCCCGGATTTCCCAAGTGCCCTGCAACAAGGGATCTGTTCAGATGCTTTTGTCTCATGTGCTTGGGCAGAAAGGGCAGTTACGCCAGGAATAAGTTGGGCTTGATCACTAGATCCCGGGGTCCGTTGTCCTCCTTTGCCAAAATATGTGTCCCTCTCTGGGTTGGGCAGCTGAGACCTCCCCAGCACAGCTGGCCAGTGAGGACACTGAGTTTGAGAAGGGGGGAGGGCGGGGCTGGCAGCCCCAGGCAGCACTGAACGCAGGGGATCATCAGTGGGCCCGGAAATCCCTTTCCTTCTCCAAGACATGTGACAAGTCTGCCTTTGATTCGTCTGGGCAGTTTTTCAGAGCCCGATGAGTCCAGACAAATCCATTCAAGAAGCACATTGACAGTCGGCTTGAGCCAAAAGCAACCTTCTAAAGGAATTCCTTTCGGATGAGCAGTTTCGTTTTTGACTTCCACAGTGATTCATTTCCCGATCGGCACCCTTTGGAATCTGGGCTTCCCCCTACATGTAGGGCCACATCGAGCCGAAAAGCGAGCCAGCAAGAATTGGTAGATTTGTTGGCCACAAGCAATTTTCCACTGTTGAGTCATTCCTGGCTGTCACAGGGAGGCGATCCTGTGTGAGCTCGCTGAAGTGTGTAATGCAGAGGGCTATGCAGAGATTTTTTTTTTTTTTGAACTTGGCTGTTAAACTATTAAGTGTATTAAACAAATGCAGAATTTACAACCTGTAACCTGAGACAGATGCCGATGTGTGGGGCACTGGCCAGGAGCACGTGGGGCCGGAGTAGCATCCAGTAGCAATCAATGCCCCCACTCCCCACCCCTATATCTGCCTCCCAGGGCTGTCTTTCTTGCTTCACCCGTCAAAGTGGCAACAAGCAGGAAGCCCCTATCTGCTCTCTAGGCCCCTCAGCAGGTCCCATGTAGGAAGCGTGTCCCCACGGGGTTCTCACCGTGGTCCCGGCTGACAGGGGAGGACACGCGTGGGGTGTGCCCTGGTGGCCCTGCAGCCTGGCCCTTTGAGGCGAGAAATGGGTGCTCTGTCCCCCAGACCCGCCAGAGCCCTGAGGCCCACCGAAGGAGCCAGTTATCAACTGCAAACCCCGCAGAAAGTGGGGGACCTGGGGGCCCGGGTGAGTGCTAAGTGTTGCCATATGGTTTTCTGCCGAAAGTCTGATTATTAATAACGTATTAATTACCACAGGGGCAATCAGGACGAGATGGCTACCCGGTAATTTGCCATTTATTTTTTGCTCTCTTTGCCCTTTTCTCTCGAGCCGGTGTCCTTCCTCTGAGCCCTTATTTCCCTGTCTGCACTGCTCCCTCCTCCTCTGCTCTGGGGTCTGGTCTCTCTGTGGAGGGGATTAGCATGAGCTCTGTGAAGAGGTGGGATGTGCAGAGCCGCAGGCAAATCAAAGAGGCTTCCAGGAGTCCCCCTGGCGTCTGAATCCACCCGCACCGCCCTTCCTGCCCAGGGTGTCGCCCGAGCCCAGCGTCCAGCCCTTGACTGCGGAGTGTCCTCCACACTGGCGGGCCCCCAACCTCTTGCCAGTGGACACAGGACTCCTGGCCCCGCCCACCGTGTCCTGTTACCACTCAGGAACGGGAGACTGATTGGGTCCAGTTTGGCCTTTTTCATGTTATCACTTCTCAGATCTTCTACAGTTAAACCTAAAAATTAGCTTATTCTTGGAAGCAAGGTCCCCAGCACGGGCTTGGTGAGCGCCATGTAAGCAGCAGGATGGGGGAGCTGTGCGTTGCCGAGTCCTGCGCATCAGTTAGGACCATGACGTAGCGTCCAGAAGTCCTGCTGCGTCAGAGCAGGGGCGAGCCTGGCGGAAGGAGAGCTTGGCTGCACCATCCTTGGGGACAGATTTGCTCTGGGCCTTCAGGCCGGGGAGATGCAGGAAGGAAAATGTTCATTGACTCAGAGGCCTCTCTAAGGGCCAGGTGTGTCAGGGTCAGAGTCACAGCGATGGAGGGGAGGGTCCTGCAGGAGCCACCGTCCCAGAGGCCGTGGAGCGTCAGGAGGCCCTGCTTGGTCTCCAGTGCTGCTGCCTCCTAGCTGGGTGTCCAAAGGGGAGGGGAGTGGCAGAGTGAGTGGGTTTCCTCCCCCGTTGTTGTCTCCTCTGAGCACACAGTGACCCCGGAGTCCTTTCTCCCTGGCTGTGAGCATCAGAGAGGATGTTGGCTGATGGTGGGAATCATTTCTTCCAGGTGAGGGGCAGGGGGCTCCAGACCAGCTGCCGGGGGATCCCCCTCCCACAGAGGCCTCTTCTCCCTCAGCCACCATCCCTGCCTTTCCTCCCAGGTGGGAGGCAGGGTTGGGGGGGGGTGGCCAGCGGGCTCTGTGAGCGACGGGCAGGAGTCCAGGTGCACAGCTGGGCAGCCGGGGGAGTAAATCCCATCTTTACCACTCACTGGCTGTGAAACAGTGGGCAAGCCCCTCGGCTGCCCGAAGTCTCCATTTCCTTGCCTGTGAAGAGGGGAGCTGGGGTTCAGGTGGAGCGAGGTCAGCCTGGAGCAAACAGCGGTCGGTTACTGGGGCTGTTATGGGGCGGAGGCAAGCCTGAGGGTGAGGTGTGTGAGGAGCTTGCTGCCGAGCCTGGGCCAGAGATGGGGCTCTGTGAATGTTGGGGCGGGGGTGCTAAGGGTGGGTGTGCACACAGTGTGTCCACCTGGTGTGAAGTCAGGAGCTTCCTGGGAAGGAGGGGGTTAGGTCCCGTTTGCAGGCTGCTCCGGTGCCCTTGGCCCTCCAGCTCCTTGTCACTGGGCAGCGTAGGCCGGCTGGGCCAGGTGACAGGGCGGGGAAGCTGCAGAAACCCACTATTGCCTCGGGGCTGGTGGCCCCTTTTCCTGAGGTCCCCGTCCTGGTGTGGGTGCATACCTCTGTTGCCACAGGGTCTGGGCGTCTTCTCGGCTGGGCAGCCCTGCCCGCTGGCCGTTCAGGGCGTTCGTGCCTCCAGGGCCAGGAGCCAGCTGGCCTGCCCAGCTCTGTGCCTCCAAGCACCCTCGCACCAGCACTGCCACAGGCCGTCCCTTCTGTGAGGCCCACAGGGCAGGGCAACGCCCGCCCACGTCCCCTGCAGGGTGGAAGCAGGCCTGGCAGGCAGGGGAAGGTGGAGGGACTTGCCCAGGCACTTGGGACCCATGTGTTTTGAGCTGAAATCCAGATCTCTTGGCCCGTGGAGGGCCTGGCTCCCAGCCTGGGGTCTGTTTACAGACAGCTCCGTGTGGTCGCCCCAGAGGGTAGGGGGACTGCCGCACTCCTGGGCCACCTAAGAGGCACCTTGTCCACAGAGAACCACACGAGCTTCCCGTCCTGCCACCCAGTCCAGCTCAGCCCTGGCTCGGCTGCGCGGCTGGGGCAGACAAGCCTCTCGGAACCGGCAAGGCCCCGCCAACAGAGCTGGAGGGGTTGATGGGGTCAACCGCGAGCCAGGGGCAGCACGCACGGCAACCCCTCCCTCGATGCTCTGGCTGTGTGTGTCCCCGTCGTCGTCGCCGCCACCACCCCCCCACCCCCCGCAGAGGCCTCGAGGGAGGAAGGACGGGCTCAGCTGGTGCTGATGCACCAGCACACGGCAGCGTTTGGAAGGCACAGGGCTCTGAGAAAGGGCAGTTTGGGAGATTTCAAGACCAGCCCTGGGGAGGATTTTTTTTTTTCTTTGTGCTAAAAACATGTCACTTTGTAAGGCAAAGAAAGAGCAAGAAAAGAGTCGTGCAGGAGGGCTGGGTGGAGACTGTGCCGGCTGCATGTTCTGGATTCATCCATGCCGGCCCTCCCCTGCCGAGTGAGACCAGCTGAAACCAGGTCCACACGTGGCCCAATGGGGGTCAGGGGCATAGGAGCCACCCACGTCCGAGGGACAGGTGGTGGACGGACAAGGGCCCAGGCCACCTTGTCCATGGCCTCCTTGTTCGGAGCTGGCCTGTCATTTCCGCTGCAAGGGTTCAGTGACAGCTCTCTGCTGATGACAACAGAAGCGTGTTTACTGTAAACCTTCCCAAAATAGAGAAAAGCACAAAAAAAGGAAAAAGCAGCTATCCATAATCCTACCACCCACAGATAAGTCTGCTCAATATTTTAGTATTTGTTCTTGCAACATTTTTTATGGGCAAGTTTGCTTTTATATTTGCTATTTTAAAAAATGGGATTACAGTGGACATACGTTCTTGTAGCCTATTTTTTTCACTTAATATAGCATGACATTTTTCCACATCATTAAGAATTCTTATAGAATGTAATAGCTACGTCATATTTTATCATGTTTATTATATTATATATAATGTGTTTAACTGGTCTCCAAGTTGTATTATTTATATTGGCAATTTTTCACCCTCATAGTCAACATCCTAGGAATAAATGTAGGTTTATTTCCATGATTATGTCCTTAGAATAAATGTCTAGAAGTTGAACTGCTAGACCAAAGGGTTTACACGTGTGTGAGGCTTTTGATGTCTTTTGCCAAATTGCCCTCCAGGAGGCCGTGCTAATTTTCATTTCCACCAAGAACATGTGAAGGCTGCATGTTCCCCCAAGCTCTGCCCAACTGTGGGTATTATCATACTTTTAAATCTATGCCAATACAATAATACATATGTGTGTGTGTATCTTGTTTTAATTTAGGGTATTTTTCATTAGAAGTATAGTTTTAGAAATTAGGCTAGTTTTGATAAATTTCTGTAATCCTAGCTGCCACCTGGTGGTAGAGGTTGGAATTGCAGGGATAGAGTTTACAGAGAAAATCGCAGCCATCGTTCGGGAGCTTTCAGATCCCAAGAGGTCCAGGGACAGCAGACATCGTGGCATCTGCAGCATAGGGGGTATTGGAGCTCAGAACATTGTAAGTCCAAGCTGGGACCTGAAGAGGAGCCCTGGGCGCTGCACTCTTCATGTTGGGGTAGCAATCAGCATTGATGTTGATAAGTGATTTTGCATCTCATAAATAGGAAGCTTGGCTCCGTCCAACATATCTAGAAGATGTTATGCCCTGTGCTGGGTACTGAGGTGGCACAAAGATGGGTCAGACCCAGTCACAGTCTTCGGAGAGCTGTGGAAGAGGGGACCAGCACAGCCCGCCTGCCATGGGTCAGAGAGGGACGAAAGATTATAGGTCACTGTGATCTTCCTGGAGGTTTCTTATCATAACCCCTTCTTCCTCTCCAAACTGTGGCTCCCGTCTAAGATGAAAGACTTGTCTCTCACGCGAGGCTTAATCTTGCCTGCACCTTGACTTCTGCACAGAAAACATGAGACACTCTCATCTCCTGTTTACAACGTCCAAACCCTCACTTTTCCTCCTCTTTAGTATTTTGACTTCTGACTCTTACCATTGAACTTTAATGACTTCCTGGTTTATTTCAAACCTTCAGAATGCAATTGAAAATTTTCTTGAAAAATGTGTTTTTGGTAACATCTTCCAGGACTTAAGGTTTCTGTACATTTGCACGTGTGAGGAGAGTGTTAGTTTGTGAGGCCAGAGGTGCATGGAGATGGTGAAACCCAGCAAGTGCCAGGGCGCCGAGGCCCGAGGTAGTGAGCAGGCCCACCTCAAAGACACTGTCAGTCATTGACTCTATGCCAGGCACGTTTCTGGGTCTCTGGACTAGCACTGAACAAGAGGGACAAGGCCTCTCCCTGTGGTGGGGAGAAGAGAAACAAACAAGATAGCTTCAAACAGTGAAATGTGCTAGAAAGAGAATAAAGGACAATGTGAGGAGGGTGCTGACTGGGTGGATGGATGGGCATAATTGGGATCAAATAATCAGAAGGCTCTTGAGAAAGGTGACATTTGAGCTGAGACCTTGGGTTCCTGGCAGAGGAAAAAGTGCACAGGTCATGAGGTTAGAGGAAGCTCCGTGAGTCCAGGGTGCCCTCGAGGCCAGTGTGGCCAGAGCGAGCGAGATAAAGATGGGGAAATAGTACAAGGGGGGCTGGAGAGGTCTCTGGGGCTGCATGGAGTAGAATCTTGGGGACATGTAAGAGGTGGGAGGCCAGGGAAATTTGGCTCTGTGCTTATAGAAAACCACATGTCCCCAGAGACAGACTGCCGTGCCAGGGCTCAGGGGATCCCCTCCCGAGAGAACTGGGAGAAAGGACTGTCCCCTCCCAGCCCCCCACAGCCCTTCCAATGTGCCAGGGAAGCAAGCGCCCGGGTGGAGTGCTTCCTGGGTGCCCGCTCACACATGCTGTCTCGCCCTGGGAGATGGGTGGACGGCGTCGGCCCC